GACCACGCGGTTGTCACACTGCCGTGAGATTGTTATTTTGTTATTGAAGTTATACTAGTGCGATGCAATATCAGTTACTGACGTAGTTTAAATGTGCATTATCTCTTTCTAAGCCAAATGTGTGGTCTTCCTTACCTGGAGTCAGCAGTCTCCTGTTTGATCAACTTTGTACGATAATAAAACTATATTGCGTCTTGTTAGACACTTTTTATTTAAATATTGAAAATATTTTCGAGAGTAAAGGAATGGAAGTTTATTTTTGCTTTTTGCTTAGTGGGGTTTGGGAGACAGGTTGGCAGAGCTGCGTGAAGCCAGTCGGTGGTCGAGTGGCTAGAGCAGCACGCGGATGAAGATTTTGCGTCGGCGGCGGCGGCGGCCGGTCAGCAGCTGGATGGACTCGAGGCAGAGCTCGTCGCCGGGCCGGTCCTCACAGATGCGGCGCGGCGACATCTGGCGGTAGCCGTTCTTGCCCGCCGTGTACGCCACCTCGTGGAGCTGGCCGTTGGGGTCTTTGTAGCGCCAGGCGCCCTCCACCTCGATGGAGCCGTCCTCCAACACCCTGCCGCGCTCGCGCCGCGCCGTGCCGTCCTGCGACACGAAACTGCGCCCCCCCACTCAGTCACGCGCTCTTGCCTCCGACGCAACGCGCGCGCTGCCAGGGAGAAACATTTGGAGTCGGTCGCTGACGAATGCTTTCGGGGTGCGGGAACGAGGGATCTCATAGTAGCTAACGAACGTCCACATTCGGATCAAAAATAAAGGGTTACAAAAAACTGTTTTTATGCAGACGGAGTGCAGCTATCTTTACGTCGCAACGACTTAAGCAATCACGCGGTAACACTGGAACTTACCACAAGCAAAGAGAACGAGAACATCTTACGAGTAAGGCTAGGGAGTGCACAAACCTAACAAGTCAACTTACAATTATAACGAAAGTGGAGATAGGACTACTTATTGACTTACACTCGTAGATACTACATTATATTCCCGAAAAGAAAAACTAGAAGAGCTACAGAACGGCGTAGACTTTCTCGTATTAGTGCATGTGAGTGTAAGTACATGCACATGTGGGGAGATCTGTAGGGAGCTTTGACCGTGACTCAGTTGGGGTGGTGCTATGCTGGAGGGAGATACGTAATTAGAGAAAATCCGCTTAAGCGGCGAAAGGCGTAAGTCAACGCCGGATCTCATTCCGCGATAGAAACTTGTACTTCTCTTAGTACGGAACTACTGGCCTTACCAGTTCACGCACACGGAACCACTTACCAATCAAACACTCAAATCCAACATACTTTCAAGTTGATATAGGAATTGGAAACTTTCCCTTTCCATGGTTTTAGGAATCGGTCATTAGAAGGAATTTGAGAAATTATCGTTAACGCTGAAAGGTCTGTATCTTCTCCCACCACTATCGATTCTTTTGCACTTTGAGTGTACCTGCAATTTTGGTTTCTTGCGTACTAACTACTCTTACCTTATTGCACTTTAATATCAGCATAGTGATTTATATACTTTTGGTTTTCTCATTACAAAAAGTTTTCTTGAGAAACGGTTGATACTATTATTTCATGAGTTCCTCGAGCTATGCATGGATGTAGTACCTTTATGCTTGCTCATCAGAGTATTCAAACCAGATAAACAATCTCTGCACTTGACTTGGACTTAGCTCGGAAGTAAATGTCATATTTCTTCTATAAATGTATTCCTACTCATCAATACTTTTCCGCGCCACACAAAACCGTCAATCGCGAACACTCCAATGTCATTCAATGTTGCAGGGCCTGCTATGAGGCAGAGAGCATTGGGGAACGTTGACCTTCATCCTTTCCGCACATCACTTTTATCAAATGAAACAAGTGAATATGAAGACAAATAATGGTTTAGCGAGTCTCTTGTTCTTCTAATTGTTTGGAAACATACATTCTTTGAAACGAGATTAGATTAATAATCACAGGTTAATTTAGAACGGAAGATGAACTAGTATGGAAGAAATCATGGTTTTCCTTCTTTAAAGAGCGTAGTAATATCCAAGTAAGAGAATACATTCAAGATTTTGTACTGCAATAAGTATTAGTTCATCTTCAATATTTCAAGTACGCAGTTCATTAATTCAAAATAGTTTTGTCGTAATTCAAAATCGTTTTAGTCAATTGGACAAAAAGTCGTCCTTATTCAGTGCGCTCTTTCAGTAGACTTTGACAGAAAATGTATGTTAATATTTTTATGTTGTAGGAAATATTTTCTACCCCAATTTAAAAAAAACTTTAATTTCGAGATATTCGCTAAAAACTAAAAAATATGCAATTTTCTCGATATTTTCTTGGAAAGTGGCCTTTCTTGCGGTGCCAAACTTAAAATTAGAATGCAACACCCAACCAAACTTACAAGATAAGTGATTTATGTTTCCTAAACACGACGCTTTTGATCACAATTTTACTGTACTACTCTGTAACATGGAAATCCCTTCCTTAAAGTTATGAACGCCTGTACACTGCTCAGATTTTCAAGAGTACCCACCCCCATTTCCAGTCTTCACCACCAGTATAGGGATCGTTCTCCTGCTCCAAAATTTCCACTAATTTGGGCTCCGCTGCAACGGTCGCAGCCAGCGCCAGCAGAAGCAAGGCCGCACCGCACGCCGCCCGCTGCAACAGAACCAACTCACGCGTTACACCTCAACCTTGCCTCAGTTTCAGTTCTGAGAAGCCCGGGAAAAGATAAACACAGAGCTTACAGCACCTTAACTCCTTCATAAAAGATGTAGATTACTTGCCTAAATTACTATATAAACTTTGTAAATCAAAATTTGTGAGGGAAAAATTTATTCAGAAACTTAAAAGAATACTTAATTAGACATACATGGGCAAATAAAATATTCTTGTTTTTGTAATTGGTTACTTGCAGTTCAATCGATGTTCATCCGATATGAGAGTCAATGGCAAAGGTCAACAAAAATCATGAAAGGTCATGAAAACTTCATTTCCTATACTTCCCTTTTTGTATGCCTTTCCATTACCTATCGTAGAAAATGTCAGTGGCGGACGGTGGGTTCAAAACCTGGGGAGGCCAAGACAAATTTAGGCACGAAATCACATTGTGAAGTTGAAAGTCAGTGACCTTTGGTTTACTAGTAAACTGTTATTGGCAATACTCCAAATAAAATAATTAGATTTACTATTTCTCTTCTTTAAAGATCACTTCTTTGCGATAGCGGCACCTCCCGATTTTATTGTGCCACTGAAATACTCGGCCTGCCACCATAGAGCTCCTGCCTGCGACCGCATCGCACCTCCACAGGAGGAGGCTCGATGCGCAAGGGCTTCCGTGCCAAACCAACTTCAAAGCGGGCCAAACCGAAGCTACCCTTTACTGATTGGTTGCGAAACGTTGTCATGGCAACTACGATGAACATTTCGAAAATCTGAAGTTTTTCGTGTATTCGGTTTTGCATGAAGCGACTCGTGTACAAAGAGGCATAGAATTTTCCATATCTAGATGTTTGTTGTTGTTCATTTCAATTTGCTTTGGTGCAGGAAAAAATGGAATTTAGGGCATCTTGAGTAGTGAAAGAGGTAAATTACATCACTGTAGGCTCCAAAGCTTCTTTAAGCCACCTGTCGCTTCACAATGTGAGGATGCATTGTCCTTCCTTCCCCTCCTGAGTGCGCGCGGATCTCAGGAGGAGGGGGCTTCACCGAAGCGACGCCCACGCGCACCTCTCCCCCCCCCCACACACACATGCGCTGCGCGCGCCACTGCAGCGCTCCTCCAACAGCTTTGATTTTCAGTAATGTAATTAGTCAGTTTATTACCTCCATATAACTGCAGCAGGTTGATACATTTATTTGTCCTCTAGACGATTTCAGAGAAGCATTAATGCATTGATACCAGACTCTTGATCTATGACAGTTGTTAATGCGAAACGAATGGTGATCTTTATTCTTATTTTGGGGTGTCATCATCATCATCATCGTTTTATAGTTTCTCTCAGACACCCACAGAAAGTTCTGAATGGCATTCGAAACTCAGTTCTTATAGAAAGGCCAGGGTCGAATAAACGGTAGGTCAATTGCGCAATCCAAAGCTCGGATGATTCACAATCGCATACTAATGGGGGCAGGGGTCAACGATGGTGCTCAACGAAGGGTTTTCCACCTGCATCTTTGTTTAGGCAAGGGCCGTTTCACAATTTATGACTTTTATGTTTAGAGCCTTTCTCAACCCTAGTGATAGTTTCGTTTTTCAACGTTCATCGGTTGTTCACAAAATACTCGAAACAGGCAGCACGCGCATCGCTTCGTGGAAGCTCCGGATTCTCTTATAGCCAGGCCTGCTCGTAAACACGTTGCAATCTTACTTTAGTATCTGTCAATTTAACATTTACGCAGTCTCCGCAACATAGTGCAAATAGTTCTTAAGAAAGGCTTCATCTCTCTCACCGTCAAAAAGACCACAGCAGTTCAGAAAATTTTCAAACTTAATAAGACATGGCCATACCACAAAAACGGAAAATATAATATAGTCCACTCAAATAGTAGAAAATAAGGGAAAGTTTTGGTGCATTTTTGAAATGTGATTCCTATATGTTTTTTCTGGGGAGGAGGGAGTTGGCTGAACAGGAATATCAGGTTTGCTAAAAAAAATTTTGCCCCAAAGCACCCTTTTAAACAAAAAAAATTATAAATTTCAGTTTCTTTTTTCAGTTTTTTTTAAAATAGCTCATAAGGCATACATTTTTCGTAAATAATAGTTCTATACGAAATAAAAGAAAATAAAATTACTTATATTTCATGTCCTTTGTACTTTCTCGTACTTAAAACGTAAGAAGAGAAAATATTGTAATCATGCGCTTGGAAACGGCGAATTTTCGACACAAAAATCTTGTTGCTGGCTTGCCCTTGTTGCCCCGTAGCGAAAAAGTAGGCGCCAACGCCAGAGTGGTCAATGTTTGCATATTGTACGGATAAAGCAGGGAATTTATATTCAACATCTATTTTTCACTTGTCAGCTACGATTATTTATCCACGGATATTAATTGGTTTCTGAATTTTGAATATTCATAAAGCCACTGAGAACATAATCATCAAGCCACAATTTTAAAAATATATTCTGGATTTAACCAACGCAACTGGAGGAAACGCAACTACAGAAACGTGATGATTCGATTCCAAAAATCTAGAATAAATGTGCATGAAGGTAATCACAAGTTTATAATAAATATTTGTCAAAAGCATTGGAATTGAATGCATACGTCTGCAAATACAAAGATAATACGTACACACAAATTTTACGCCATTTGATAACGCAAGACCTGTTTACCTCAAATCCTATACTGGTAGAGTCTGTTGTATTATTTTTGGAGAATGCGTCCGTCGTAAATATTAGTTTTCATTGTTGTAACCATGGGTGTCATCCACAACAACTGCTTGCTTTATGTTCCGAAATAAGAGGCAAAAGCATCGTAATATTCGGATCATTTGAGGTTGAGCGCCGTATATAACCGAATCTAAAGAACAATGAACCATTTACAAAGCTTTTATTGTTAACATGGGACTTCATTATTCAGAATGAGTATCATAAAAAATTTTACGTTCTGACAACCATCAGAGTAAATATATTCTGTTTCTGACAATTCATATGGCGAATTTAAGTTTAATTTTACAGGTAGTATAATGTTGTACATTCAAGCACTTACTTCGTAGGAATAGAAAGCTATGAAATCGTATAACAAAAAAAGGGCGAATTTTCGGCAGAAAAACATATTGCCGGGCCCTGATAACGATAATAATGAGGATGAATTCTTTTGCTATATATTGTAAATTACTTCCTCATATGGTGCAGCCAGAATCCAGATTTTGTAGGTCCTTGACACCGAAAAATCGATTCACGACGAAAGTCTCAGTCCATCTGCCCGTCCGGGCTCAACGCTAGCGCCAAAACCGTTCAGCCGATTTTCCCCAAAATTAATATTCCTCAATCGATGCGAAGGAACTCGAGGCTTTCGGAGTTTCAAACGGATATTTTGATTCCTGAGGGTACTTTAAATGTAGCCTAAAAACGTTTTCAACATTTTCTCTATAATGACACCAAAACTTTTGATTAAGCATTGTTCGTGGATAGAGTATATGACGCGGAAAAAATAATGCAAGTCTCATGTTCGTTGAAACTCTTGATTTTTGGAAAATTTCATAAGTGCAGTTTTTGGGTGCGCCTTTCTGGAACTATAATATTGCAGAAAAGAGATGTTTTCGTTAAAAATGAAAGCTGTTCTTTAAAGACGGATCTTGAAATAAAGTCATTCAATTTTGCAAAAATGTGCGTTGTTTTTGTGTAGTTTTGAGCGAAATATAGGCAATTTTAATGTTTTATAATTTTTCTCTCTAAAACCACGGGACGTCAAAAATATGTTGCTAGCCCTATTTTCGGTCACCTCTTCGTAATTTCGAAAATTGCTAAAAGTAAACATTACAAGGGATGGTAAACATTTGGTGCCAGTCCCATTTTCCGCAAATTCTCGGTTTTTTCGAAAATTGCAAGGAGTTAACATTTCGAAACTATTAAATTATTGAAGGTATCGATTTTTGCCTTAAATATAGTCGCTTCTAAAAGATTAGCTCTTTAAAAAAGCCATTAGACAATTTTTAGAAAAAAACAAGTAGATTTCGAATAAATTGTGTGTAAAATGTATTCAATTTTATTTTTTTTTGTCTAGGGGTATGATAGAGTGTTAATTTATAATTACTTGTAACTTCAAGCCATTATTGATTTTAATTTAAGCTAAACTCACATGTAAGGTGGTAATTCCACTGATTTGGCAAAATAATTTTTTTTTAATTCTCAAAACCAATTCAATATTTTTTCTTGAAATTTTCTTCTCGTAAGTGACAACGACCTGTAAAAAGTATACTGCCATTTTCGGCACGCTTAGCGCTGTATTATACTGGTAGTATTATACAGTACAATACTGTATTATACTGATAGTATAACACAGCAAGGCAGTTAGAAATAATGCGAGTAAGTATATGCCGTCGAAGCAGTACTAGTTTTCTACACTATACCCAGCACCTTGCATGAAAAATAGTATCTTTTTCACGATGGTATCTTTTCATGATATTCATCAGTTTTACAATAGCCAGAAATGAAACGTGGTATAAGTATGCCTGCAGGTTACTTGAAATAGTGGTGATAAAATGTGACATACTTTTTTGCATAATTAGGTACGGTTACCTAATATTACAAATTATAATTTATAATATTGCAATTTCCGCTAGCATTAGAGTCCACGTCCAAACCAATTCAAACGAAGCGTCTTTGGTGGATATCTCCGATTATTTCGCTACTCACGAACAGTAGCCTTTTCTTACTATTACAAAAGAAACAAGCATGAACAAATCATAACTTTCACAAGATTTACAGCACATTATACGAAGAAGAAATGATAATATTTCGTATAAATGAAACATCCGTAACTGATGGAAATCCATCACATAAAAGTATATATTACGAACCTAAAGTATCATTAGGGTGTCATTACATCTGCACAAAATATTTTGTGTATTTTGTATAAATATTTTTCTCGACCTTAATATAATTGATTCCACCGTTTATTGATCGTAGTGACCTTGTAGCCCATTGGTCAGTATGC